GCTGAAGTCAAAGAAGAGAAGACAGTCACAAAGTTCCTCCAGAAGATATTACTCAATTATGGGGGTGTGTTTGAGGAACCACATGGCTTACCACCAGTGAGAGATAGGGAACATGGTATACACTTATGCAAGGAAGCAACCCGGTCACTGTACGACCGTTTCGCTATCCACATGCTCAAAAAGAAGAAATTGAAAGGCAGGTGACAGCAATGTTGAAGGCTGGCATTATTCAAGAGAGCATTAGCCCGTTCTCCAGTCCAGTCCTTTTAGTGAAGAAGAAGGAAGGAAGCTAGCGATTCTGCGTGGATTACAGAGCCTTAAATAAGGCTACAGTTATGTATAGCTATCCTATACCGACGATAGACCAATTGTTGGATGAGTTACGAGGAGCAGTGGTGTTTTCTAAGTTGGACCTGCGAGCCGATTACCATCAGATAAGGGTCAAGGCAGAGGATGTTCAGATGACTGCGTTCCGTACCCATGATGGGCATTACGAATTCCTAGTAATGCCTTTCGGACTGACCAACGCCCCTGCCACGTTTCATTCAGTCATGAATGAGGTTTTCAGGTCGTATTTGAGGCATTTCGTGCTCGTGTTCTTCGATGACATTCTCGTGTTCAGCAAGACTTATCAGGAACACACAACGCATGTGAGGCTGGTGTTGGAGAAGCTAAACAACACCAGCTCTATGCCAACAGGAAGAAGTGCGAGTTTGGTTGCTCGAGTATTGAATACCTAGGTCATGTGATCTCTGCAGACGGAGTGGAGGCTGATAAGACAAAAATTACAGCCATGACGGAATAGCCAGTACCCAAGAATGTCAAGGCGTTGAGGGGCTTCCTTGGGCTGACAGGCTACTACCGCTGATTTGTTCAGGGATATGGTGAGATTGCGAAACCGCTGACAGCTCTCTTGAAGAAGGATATATTCGTGTGGAGTGAGATAGCTGCAGAAGCTTTTGACAAACTCAAACAGGCAATGACATCGGTACCAGTGATGGCACTTCCAGACTTCACAGAGAAGTTCGTGGCTGAGTCTGACACATCAGGGAAAGGACTGGAGGCTGTCCTGATACAGGGGCACAGACCGATAGCATTTTTCAGCCAAGTACTGTCTGAGCGTCAGCAGTTGAAGTCGGTATACGAGCGAGAGCTGATGGCCATTGTCTTTGCCATACAAAAATAGAGGCACTACCTACTTGGGAGGAAGTTCATTGTGAGAACAGATCAAAAGAGATCAACATGGAGTACCAGAGGTGGCTGTCTAAGCTGTTGGGGTTTGACTTTGACATTCATTATAAGCCTGGATTAGAGAACAAGGCTGCAAATGTGTTATCTAGAAGACATGTGGCTGCAGAGTTGATGGCAATGTATATACTGACCGCAATACAGTTCCAAGATATAGAGGCTGAGTTAACCCGAGATGAAGCTTTACAGAAAATCGTGAGGGAGATTGTGGCTGATCCTATGACCCATCCAGACTATACCATGGTTCAAGGAAAGCTATTACGTCGGGGAAGGTTAGTACTGCCTAAGGAGTCTAAGTTGATTGGGGTAGTCTTACGAGAGCTACATGATGGACGTATGGGGGGGGGACATGGAGGCGTTCACCGTACTCAAAAGAGAGTCCCTGAGATGTTCTACTGGGTGGGAATGATGAATGATATCAAGCAGTATGATCTGTGTGTCAACGCTACAAGTATTCCACGTTGGCTCCAGGAGGATTGCTACAACCACTGAACATTCCAAATGCAGTATGGGAAGACGTGGCCATGGATTTTGTGGAGGGTTTACCAAGATCTGAGGGGTACAATGCAATGTTCGTAGTAGTGGATAGACTATCAAAATGTGCTCACTTCATCAGACTGCGACATCCGTTTACCGCGATAGAGTAGCGTGCATCTCCAACCCCACTTCAAAACCCACTCCAAACTCTATTTTGCAGTAAAATCATCTCTAACCCTACTCCAAAATGGAGTAACAAATATGATTACTCCAAATATGGAGTAAACCAACTTATTACTCCAAAATGGAGTTGAACTTTTTTTTTATCAAATGGTCCTCCACATTTATATATGTTTCGTTTTTAATAAAATATTATTATAAATAAATATATTAATATTATTTTACTATATATATTATAAAATTTACTGTTAACATTTCTTAATTATATAAACAGCCTCATTTTTAATATTATTATAAATAAGTATATTAATATTATTTTACTATACATATTATAAAATTTACTGTTAACATTTCTTAATTATATAAACATCCTCGTTTTTAATAAAATATTATTATAAATAAGTACATTAATATTATTTTACTATATATATTATAAAATTAAATGTTAATATTTCTTAATTATATAAATAGCCTCGTTTTAATAAAATATTATTATAAATAAGTATATTAATATTATTTTACTATATATATTATAAAATTTACTGTTAATATTTCTTAATTATATAAATAGCCTCGTTTTTAATAAAATATTATTATAAATAAATAATTTAGAATTGATGTATTATTATGTTTAAGCTATGTAATGTAATTTTTAATGTAATAAATGTTTTCTTTTGAAACCTTGTTGAGTAATTTTATTTTTTTTATAATAAAAAAATAATTGTGGTTAATATTGTATTTAATAGAAATGCTATAAATGGAAAATGGACTGTTTTGCAAATAGTATAAATGAAAGGTGATATTACTGATTTTAAAATAAATATAAAACATAATACATTAGAAATATTTTTTTGGAGTAGAAAATGAAGTAATACATTGGAGTAAAACTCAACTGCATTTTGGAGTTTGGAGTAGAAAATGGAGTAATACATTGGAGTTGCTCGTATTTGTACAGGATGTTATCAAGTTACACGGGTTTCCGAAATCAATAGTCTCTGACAGAGATCGGGTGTTCACTAGTCAGTTTTGGAAGAAGCTGCTCTGACTCTCAGGCACTACCTTTTGTAAGAGCACTACCTATCATCCACAGTCTGATGGGCAGACCGAGGTGACCAATCGTGGTCTAGAAACTTAAATGTGTTGTTTTACCAGTGACAAGCCAAAGGCATGGGCTCGTTACTTACCGTGGGCAGAACTATGTTACAATTCATCGTTTCACTCTGCTATTATGATGACGCCATTCAAGGCGGTAAATGGCCGCGATCCACCTGCTTTGATTAAGTATGAATCTGGCTCGACTGCTAATGCTGACCTGGAGAGTAGACTGATTGAAAGGGATGAGATGCTGGCTCTCATGAGGGAGCATATTCACAAGGCTCAGCAAGTGATGAAGAAACAGGCTGATGGACATAGAAGAGAGGTGAAATTTGCAGTGGGAGATAAATTATATGTTAAGATCAGGCCTTATCGTCAGCAATCACTTGCGAAGTGCGCTAATGAGAAGCTGTCTGTGCATTTCTATGGTCCATTTGAAGTAATTGCACAAGTGGGAGAGGTAGCTTATCGTCTCCAATTGCCAGAGGAAGCCAAGATGCATCACACTTTCCACGTATCTCAGCTGAAGAAAGCCGTTGGAGATGATCAACCAGTGGCTCCATTACCTACTCAACTCACAACAGAAGGGGTATTGGAGGTTCAACCAGAAGCGGTATTGGGTTCACGGGTTAGTCCAGCTTCAGGACAAGAGGAGGTGTTGATTCAGTGGAAGGGATTATCAGTCTATGAGAGTTCTTGGGAATGGAAGAAGGCCATACAAGAGATTTGATCAGATTTGTAAAGGGAAGAGATAGATCTTAATGGGAGATCTAGAAGATCGACCCAAATCTAAGATCAAGATATACATCAATATATTAGAATAGGAAACTTATCATTATCTATAATGTAATATTTCATATTGGTTTAGGAATTAGCTTTATGCATCTCTATATAAGCATATGCATATTGTAATATATTCTGCATGAGAGTCAATAATATTTCTTCCAATTCTATACTCTCATCAATCTATCAGATCTCTAAGAGAAATTATCTCTAGTCTTGTTTATTCTCATTCATTGTAATACAATCTCGTTTCTCTTTAGTTCCCATAACAGGCTCGTTGGGAGTATCGATCCCGGGTGATGACGAACTTTTGCCGTTTGAGTCACTGAAGGTTGATGACTCTGAGAAACCATTTGCTACCATCGATGACGCTTATGTGATTCAAGAGAAAGTCTCGTCTCCAAAACGTAACAGTACTATCTTGTATTCATAGATATTCTCCTTTTATCAAAGATGAGAACTGAAATAGAACCTAGACTAGACAAGAGACTAACATGAGAGGGTTTATCAGATTCTCAGTTGAGACTTAACTCTTATGTGTGTTTGTGTGATTATATGTACAGCTGCGGAGAGAGCTATCATTGGTGAAGAATCTTAAGATTCAAGAACCAAATTTGTTACCCCAAGGTACTATACTACTCTAGTCTCAGTTTAAGAATAATATAGTGAACATGTGGAAAGAGATACCAAGTAAAAAGATAGGAGAAACATTGAAAGATTCTGAGTCTGAGTACGATTTATGTAACAGGAACGTTTCAGATTCGACGTGCGCATTTGCAAAATAAGAAAAAGAAAGCCGTCTAGAAGCTTTGTTGGTGCTGATCCTAAAAGTAAAAACATGCTGTTTCGTACCTCAGGAGTAGGCCTTGTTCTTCATTTGGATCTCGATTGCTTACTGCAGCTTTGGGTCTTAAGGTGAAGAGGAAGAAAGTCTCTAACATCAGAAGATCCAAACTTCACAGGAAGCTCTCTCAACGGCAATCAGATCATCAGATGAAAGCGTGGGATAGCTTTCTTATATAAATGACTCTTATTGATTTTATTAAAGCTTTTTAGTGATATAAATTGCAAGACAACAAATATTCAGTGATTTGGAAATACAACTTTCAATAATGGATACAAAATGTTTTCAACCAAAGCCATTGTTAATTTCTATAATTTGTATACCCCTCTGCCTCCCACAAATCATCTTTTGGGTTTATATGGAGTTGGTATCTTCATGGAGCATAGCCTCCTCCACCACCGTGTCCACCGCCTGAACCACCACTACCGTAAGCACCACCATATTGGCTGCCGCCTCCACCTGAACCACCTACCCCACCACTGTCATATCCCCCTGCTGCACCACCATAACCACCTCCTTCACCACCACCACTTCCATAACCACCTCCATGAGCTCCACCTCCACTGTAAGCTCCTCCTCCCCCACTTCCTCCACCGCCACCGCCTCCATAGCCTCCAGCTCCGCCTCCTTCACCGCCTCCATAAGCACTACCACCATAAGCCCCTCCACCTGCTGATCCTCCATGACCGCCTCCACCTCCAGCAGCACCTCCACCTGCGCCACCACCTTCACCAGCTCCACTTCCATAACCACTAGCATGCTCACCTCCACCACTGTATGCTGATCCGCCACCGCCTCCGCTTCCACCACCTCCCCCACCAGCATGTCCACCACTTACACCACCAGCCCCTTCACCACCACCACTTCCATAACCGCTAGCATGATCTCCACCACTATAAGCAGCTCCACCACCACCACCACTACCTCCACCACCGCCACTAGCATGGCCACCGGAAGAAGAAGCTCCACCACCGCCACCACCGTGACCACCACCACCAGTGGCATACCCTTCAACTCCTCCATATCAACCACCACCAATCACTCCATAACCTTCACCACTACCGTGGCCTCCACCACCGCCACCACCATGTCCAGCCGGGATTTCGCCGTATGTTAAGAGATTCCCGCTAGTGGCGTAGCAAATGCCAATGCCGAGTAAGAGAAAAAAGATAGTTGAGAGAGATTTGATAGAAACCATTTGTTTTGGTAGTATAGTAGTAGTGATATTAGAACTTGATGAACTAAAATGGAAAGGCTCAGTGAGGTATTTATAGTGATTGGGATTTTTGCAAGGTAACATCTTTAAAATAAAAATATAAAGGATTTTGTTCTTTATTGGTAATACTTATATATTTTCTTCAAACTTTTTATATATTACACCAGTCCTCAGTATTATTGATTACTAAATATAATCATTGAATTTTTGAAACCCTATAAAACACATTATTTGAAAGATATTGAAAATATTTTTTGATAAGATATAATAATATATTGTCAAATATAACTATCAACAGTATAAAAATTGTTAATAATATTTTCTAATCAAAATATTTTAATGTAAATATAATGATAAATATTAAAATATGGTATATAAAAAGTTATTTTGTGAGACATATATAATTGTATGGAATATAATATAAAGTGAATAATGTTGTGACTTAATAGTATCATTTTAAATTTGACGGTGTAATATTCATCATTTAAAAAATAAAGTGATAAAAGTCTGTTTAAGATACTCTAAATTGTGTCATCTGAGAAAATTAAGTGTAGATTAACTATCCTACCATTACTCCTAATCTTGGTTTAGATTTTTCTAATTTCTTTTATATATTGTTTTAAAAAAACATATATCATATATGGTGAAATATATATATATATATATATATATTAAAACTGTTGTTACATCTGAAATATATATATTATTTTATATTTATTGTATATACTATTATTATATTCAGATAATTTATTTTGTTTATTTTAAAATTTTTGCTTTTATTTAAATTTTTGTGAATTTTCTTATTTTGGGACTTTATATAATTTATTTTAACTTTTTTTTAATAAAATTATTTTCTATATTTTATATTTATTTTATTAATAAAATAATTTAGTTACATTTCTGATTTTTGTAAATTTTATGTTTTTTTACGAATTGTTTTTTGAATTTGTAATGAATTTTTATATTTTTTGTAATTTTATATTTATTTATTAGTAAAATATTTTTGTTTTAAAAAAAAAACAAACCGACACGTCATCATTTTGAACAGTACTGGTTACATTTTTGACTTGATGTACAAGTAAGCCAGATTGAAAGTTTAATATGTTAAATTTGTCAATTTGATTGTTTAAAGTGCTTCTAAAATACTTTAAGGGTCTAAAGTGTAAGTGGTTGTTACCTTAGATGTTTTTTATGCGATTTTTCCTTTGTTTATATAAACGTTAGATATATAAATGTTATTAGGGGATAACATTAATTGTATTTACAGTTGTTTTCCTTATATAACGCTAGATAGACATCATAACGGTACATTAAGACACAAAACAGTGTATAAATCAACAAATTAATAAACTAGGTAGACAGTTATCTGTGCAAAGGATTTTTATTAATTATAGGTTATAAATTCAATTAGAAATCTGATTTTTGTCAACAATTTTCACCAAAAAAAAAAAGAGAAAATTGGTCAAAGAGTCTCAGAGTCAAAAGTCCAATACATACTTGGCAATTAGCATGGTTACAAATTTAATACAATAGGTAAACAATCATCTTCTTTTTCCTTGTTAATTTGTGTAGAGGACTTTTAATAAAATTATAGGTTAGAAATTAAATTAGAAATCTGACTTTGTAAAAAAATTTTACCCAAAAAAGAAAGAAATTGGTCAAAGAGTCTCAAGAGTCAAAAGACCAATACATATCTAGCAATTATTATGGTTACAAATTTAATAAAATAAGTAAAAAAATATCTTCTTTCCTTGTTCATCTGTATAAAAGATTTTTTTTTATTAATTGTAGGTTATAAATTAAATTAGAAATCTGAATTGTGTAAGTAATTAGCATGGTTAAGTAAACGAATTAATTAGAGTCAAAAGAGTCCAAATACATACTTGGCAATTACTTAGCATGGTTTTAAGTAAACGAATTAATTAAAGAGTTTATTTACGGTAAAAGCTTCAGGGAAGAGGTGAAAACAAACCATAAAAAGCAAACATGGCTGCATGAATTTATTTCCCTCCCAATATAAAACCTTTACCTCACCAAACTTCTTCGTAGCTTTCACCTATAATCATAAGCTCAAATATGTCTACTCCTTCGAAGGAATCTTCACCTATAATCATAAACTCAGCTATGTCTACTCCTTCGTCGGGATCATTAACTCAGATCCAAAATCCAGAGGAAAATTCATCTTCCGCGTCCGATGACAGAGATTATCAGATCATGCCAACGGTTCAGATTATTGACAAAAGTAGCGACGATGATGTCAAGATTGAGATGACAAAAACTACTCATATATTCCCATGCTTGGCTCGTAAGAATGAACCAACAGACGTTGTATGTTCTGTTCTCTTTATTATTAATATAAAAAATAAAACGAATCCTCTTTTTCTTTTTGGTATTGTTTTCAAACAATTTATATTTAAAATAATTGAAATCTTTTTGTTTTTCTTATTCAGGGTGCTGGTTTAATTAACTCAGGCAACACTTGTTTCATAGCTTCCGTGTTACAGTGCCTTACTCATACTGTTCCTCTTCTCGACACCCTTTGCTCTTACCAATATCTATCCCCTTGCAACTGTAAGTCCATTCTTCTATGCTCTTATTTGAGTCTGTGTCTTGATATTGTGTGTTTTTGATCTGATCCTAGGTTTTTGTCTTGACTATTTTTTAACGATCTGATTTTACTTGTGTCTTGATTGGTGTTATGATCGCATTTTGGTTGGTGTCTTGATTTATTTTTGATCTGATTTTATTTGTTGATGTCTTGATTGTGTGTTGATGGTCTGATTTTATTTGGTGTCTGGTTTGCGTGTTTATGGTCTGATATTCAGTTGATTGTGTTATATGGTCTGATTTTAGTTGGTAACCAGGGTCGGCTCAATATTTTTCGGACCCTGGGGCAAAATAAAATATTAAATTTTTAATTTTTATTTTTATTAAAATTTAAATATATTTTAAGCTTTTATCCTTGATCTTTATAAAATTTGGGATGAAAATATATTATATACACATATAATATTTTTGGGCCCCTTTTCACCTAAATTAGTGAATATTTTTATCCTTAATCTTTATAAAATTTGGGATAAAAATATATTATATACACATAAAATATTTTCGGTCCCTTTTCACTTAAATTTAGTGAAAATTTTAAAACATTTATATAAAAGATATGTAAATATAAAAAAAATATTGGACCCCGGATTAGTAATATACGGGGGGACACGGATTTGGGCCCGCGGCGATCGCACCGTTTGTCCCCCCGCCTCTCAGCCAGCCCTGTTGGTAACTTGATTGTGGTCATAGTCTTTCATCTTATAGCTCATTTGGATTTTTTTTTTCAGGTGGCAATGAGAGTTTCTGTGTTCTGCTTACTCTCCAAAATCATATTGAGCTTGCTCNGATTGATCAGTTTCGTGATAACGTCAATTGTATGCTTCTCAAGTCTAGTTTTTTTATTTTTTGGTTTCTGTTGTATTTTGTTTTTCAGATCTGTTCATATGACTGATTTTATCCTTAAACCACTACAGATTTCTCAGCTGACTTCCAGATAAGTCACCAAGAAGACGCTCATGAGTTTCTACAGTCGCTTTTCGAAAAGTTACAGAAATGTTGTTTGGATCTAAATGGTAGAAATAACTCTGCCTCTCATAATGTTAACATTGTTCAGAATATCTTTGGTGGGGGTCTTGTTAGTAAGGTAACGAATTTTGAATTTTTTGATTCATTACCATACTTAATTATCTACTATATACATGACTCTTATATTATTAAATTTTTTTTTCTTTTCAGCTTCGTTGTTGCAACTGCAATTCCATTTCAGAAACATTTGAAAAGTCTACTGGATGGAGTCTGGAGATTGAAGATGTGGAAGATCTTCGGAGTGCTCTAGAGTCTTTTACATGTGTGGAAAAACTCGAGGACCAGTTAACGTGTGATGACTGTAAAGAGAAAGTCTCAAAGGAGAAGCAACTTAAGTTCGATAAGTTGCCTCTTGTTGCTGCGTTCCATTTGAAGAGGTTTAAGAAGGATGGATTTTATATTGAGAAGATCCTCAATGATGTTAAGTTCCCTTTGGAGTTGGATTTGCTCCCTTACATGAGCAGTAACGAAAAGCATGAAGTAAGTGAAAATTTTACACATCTTTTTTCATGTCTTAATTAATTTAACAAAATACAATTACTTTGTTGTTTTGTTTATTTAGGCTTCAACAAAGTACCATCTCTATGCCATGGTGGAGCATCTTGGGTTTAGTCCACATTCTGGTCATTACACAACATATGTGAGATCAGCTCCTGAGACATGGCATCATTTTGATGACACAAAGGTAAATAATACAAGATCTGATCTTTTGATCTTGTTTGGTTTTAGTTCTTTGGAGATTTCTGTGAGGGGAGTGTCAATGAAATGCAACTTTTCCTTTTGGCAGGTCTCGAGAATCAGCGAAGAATGTGTTCTATCAAAGAATGCGTATATGTTATTCTATTCAAGAGAAGAAATTCCCTGTTTTGTTAGTGCCTTTGAAGAGCTGAAGACACTATTTGAAGCCCGTCCGATGACTTTATCGCCAGCCTCTGTTCTTGAGACCGACCATAGTTACCAGAATGTCTCTGATTCCAACAACGCCTGTAATGGCTTTGTTAGCAATGAGGCTTGGCGTCCTCCCTTGCTTTACACGTATGAGAAGAGAAAGAAGAGGAAGGATCAGAAGGAATCAACTTGGAAAGGTGATGATGTGTCACCGGCTGATCACTAATTGGATTCTTTATGGAGAATAAGGAATAAACGACGTTGGTGTGCTGGAGTTAACGGCTAACGTTCGTAACGGCTCACGTGATGTGTAGCTTTGTTTGTCGTCTTTTATATTTATAGGAGAGAGAGAGAGTTGTTATGAGAGTTATCAATAGATTTGATCAGATTTGTAAAGGGAAGAGAGAGATCCCTAAGTGAAATACTCTCTAGTCTTGTTTACTCTCATTCATCGTAATACA